CAGAGAAATTATAATTATTACTAGGTACAAATTTTGTAATAAGATACGCAATAAAAATACAATAAAATTTCCTATTAATGCTCTTTAATTCTTTCACTTTAATGGTCCTATAAATTGGACTCGGTAGCTTATCTCATTATTTTTCACATATTTGAATCTATACGCGATTACGATTAGAAAACTATATTTTTCGTCTCCGTCATATTAAATTTTGCTAATAAATGATTCATTTCTTTGAATCACAGTTACAGAATTCCCGTCTGTTCGTTCGCATAACGAAAAATCAATAACTCTGTTTTTATCGACATTTCGTGCACGTAGCACGGAACACAACCAAAACGTGTTCGCATCTGCGTTATCCGCTTAGCCCCAGCGTGGACATTGGCCCCGTAGTTCATGTCCACGGAGGGCGTGTCGCGTTCGAGGATCACGTAAAACCGGGCCGTGGCAGCTCTCAGGCTTCTCTCTGTCATAGTTCGGGGCGAATAACCGACCGCGCTGCTCATCTACACCTACGTACACCGAAAAAGGCCTTTATTCATGCACTGCAGTTTACATTTGTGCACTTTCTCAGTTCTCTCTCTACTTTGAATTAACATAGAGGTTAGCAATGTTAGTTTGATTGACCGGCGTGAGCTCCAAGTTGAACGAGAGAAGCACGATAACATTGCGTACAAATATTATTTTTTTAATTGTTGTTTTTCATTTAAGTTCGAACAGTGTAAACAATGGCTTCTTCCACTGATGTTGCTACAGTACGTATTATTGATTCGTACTTTATGACATGTAAATGCTTGTAACATCGGGATTTAAATATTCGTAATCGAGTGCAGCTCTTAGAGCGCATTGATTATAAAAGAAAAATATGTGCATATTATATTTTATCATCTGTGTATCTATCGAAAGTTCACCAATTGAAAACATGCGACTCATCGTAAAGGAAACTGAATGTTTTGCACTTTTACTTGTAACGTGTACTTTTAGTTATATTCTTCGTTGCGTATTGTGTCGATTAATTTTTAGATCAGAGCTCAGAGATATTTAAACGAGCCGTTGGCGGAGCGATGTAGAGATCTGTCTATATTGATAGACGAGTCAAGTACGACTGAGCTGCAGCTAGTCTTCCCCCTGCTGATAGATTCCTTATTCGGAATAGTAGACAATATTGGATGGGGCTTGCACAATATCACCCTGAAAAGAAATCCACACGAATATGATGCGCTGTGCCACTTTCTTAGCCCGCAAGGACCAATGTTTTCTTTATGCTACAAACTACTTCCCGACTGTTATCTCAAGTACAATTTTCCAGTGTCATATCTTCCAGTGCGTTTAAATCTTAACTCTGCATGTTGCATTTTGTGTTTGCATTTTCTATCGGCACTGTATCGCAATATGTTTTCATTCCAGTCGAAAATACGCTCCATGTTGGAGGAAGCTATGATATCACCATTTTATCTTGATAAAATAAGAGATGATCAAGGGACACGTGTCCCTTCAGCTTTATCTATGAGTATCCTTTACTAAATATTACAAAACTACTATAAATCATGTGATTATTACTGTATATAATTTGCTGAATATTTCTTAACACAAACACATATCCCTTTGAGTACTACATATTTCATTTTGCATATCATTTGACCAATCCCTGGTTACAACTTCAACAGCAAGAAAACGTGTGGATGAATTGGGAAACGGTTTATGTGCAATTAGCGCATTGTTATCTGTATCATTTCCTTCCGCGAGATAATTCTCCGGTTCTACCGGTGATCGGGCCGTACGTGAAGAAGACGCCGCCAAGGAAATTGACTCAGTCACCAGAATTTCGAAGGTATAGATACACTTGGCGCTTATAAATGTAGCAAATTTAAGTGACAAGTGCGCTTTATTCGTGCATCTTGAATTTCAATCAGAGATTGCCAGAAATTACAAACACTGAGGCTCCTTCGAGCATCTATTTTATCATCGGGCTCGATGAGTCCTGGATCAGGCGTGCCGCAGCAGCAGCAGTGCTTGCCGCAAGTCTGGCGAAGCGAGACCGTAGTACAAGTCTTCCTTGATTTTTGGTTGGAGTACACAGAGGACACGCAATTGAGTACATCCTATCTGTCTTCGATACCGCGACGAGTAAGTTTTCTATGTGCGGCGAAAGAAGTACTATATGATATGTAGAAAGATATGAATAATTTTGTGGAGCACGAAACAACGTTCGCCGTTTCAAACGTATTTGATTGTAACTTTCAGCACAGTATACATTCCGGAGAACACATACGTCTTGTAAGGGCGTTCATAAAGACGCTGCACGAATTTACGAATAGCGCTACAGGCGACAAGAGCGCAATGGATGAATTGAAGAGGTATTGCGATGATATTTCATAAATTTTATACCTTTTATACTTGACAATTGCTCTAAATATTTTTTTGTTTCTTAGAATAATTCTTCCTTCGGTTCAAGGAAAAATATATACGTTTTTGAGAAAGGCAATACATCATTGGCCTCTAGACAGCTCGTTTAGATTGATACTGGAAGCTTGGCTGAGTTTTATTCAACCATGGAGATATGTACCAGGAATAACATACACTAAAGAAGGGTACGTGCGTGATGTGTAATGCTAAAATATCGTCATGGTCTTTATCAATATTTTTCCCTCGACATTTTCAGTAAAGCAGAGGAAGAAGAAAGGGGAAAGATCCACGATCCTGGTAGATGGATCTGTTTTGTTGCTAATAATCTGTTGGCGTACACGGTTGTGTTTCAGCAGTTGCTTCCGCGATTTATGCGAACTGACCTCGTAGCACCTAAGAATGCATTAATGTTGTTCAGAGTTACAAAAGTAGGTATCTTCCTCGACTGAATAAGCTATTTTATGTTTAGAGATGTATATCTTTTTATTGGTATTTAGGTATTTTCACAACCATACTTGGCAAAAATGATATGCGAAGTGGAGAGTTGTATGGACGACGTAGGCTTAAGTAAAGGTCGAATAGCTACGAATCAGTGGACATCGATCATCAGGCAGCAGATTCTTGAATTGGAGGGTCAGACGTATCTATACGTTCCCATGTTTTCGACAGCCACTAATCTGCAGGTACATTTTTACTCTTTATAGATTCCCGTGATACTCTTTCTGGATGTCTATGAGTTGCTTTATTGATGTATATAATGTATATTATAAACATAATAAAACGATTAGCTTGCATTCCAGGTGGTATGGTTTTTGAGTAACATTAAACAAGCGCATTTAACGGCGACTAGCCTGGTCGAGGCTCTGGAAAACAGAAGAAGAGGAAAGCGCTTTCTCCTCTCTCTATGGGAGTTCTTTAGCTGCGAGGAATACTCGTCGGATGACATCAGCATAGAGGAGCGACGACGTGTTCCGGTGCTCTTGGCTACCGCCCAACAACAGCTGATAGATATATTTCAAGTAATTGAATTGAATTTCTTTCACCTCAATGTCAAAATAACAAATCATGTACTTGTTATTTTGAGTAACATGACACTCGGTCACGGTTGTAGATACAGCTCGAGGATATTCCACAAGTTGCTATAGTCGCGGATCAAGAATATCACGATAGCATTCTGTCGACTTCATTCTGCCATCAATCGCAGGTGCGGATTGTTGAAATAGATTTCTAGAAAAATACATAAATACTTGGATCGATTGAAAGACGCGACTTTTAGATGGAGTCTAGCTTCGACTCGAGCAGACCGGGTACTTTCGTACCGTTGCAAGAGGGTAGACAGACGTGCCGATACGTTGAATACATGGGCGATCCAGAGTTGCAGCCGGTGCGAACAAACGAGTGCGCCTTTCTCGTTCAAAACTTCTACAAGCTGTGCTGTTACATCAATCTCAAGGTATTATGCATAGTCATATTGCTGTTCTTCAATTTGATAACTTACGATTCGTTTGCAGTATCGACACGAGATAATCACACTGTACAACAGACAGAGCTTCCTCGGTAGTATTTGTCGGCAACTGATCACCCCGCCTACCACCATTGTAAAATTACCCAAACGAATGGCAAACGGATTTACCAGTGGCTCTGAGGAACGATTGCCGCCTCGACTAAGTTTACGGCCTCTAGCCAATTACACCTTTCTCATGGGTATATCATTTGGTATATTTGGCGCATGGCTTGTCAAGTATGTAATTCCGTGATTTTTCTACGATCTGCCGAAAAGTTACCTACGACAAGCCTCATACATTCAGAGTATTTTCTTTTGCAGTTACAGCCCTGTCGTGTTCCTGGGATTTATATTTTTTATATGGATTGTGTATATTATCGTACGTGCAACATTGCAACACTATTTTCTATCTGGCACAAGTATTTTCAGACCAAGTTTGAGTGCATCTTCCATGAATCGATGATACTTTCGTACTTTAAGATTTAATGAACGTTGCAGTAAGTAATTTTGGATAAAATATTTTTTGCCAATAACAAAAACGATTTTTGATACGTATATATTTGCAAATGTATTAAACGATAGAAAATATATTATCAATAACATTGCTGTTTGCCAACCATTACTTTAAGTAATTACGCTAAGTAATTGCGTGAAATTGTATTTACATTGCAATTATTTATAATCGGAGACCTTCGCGTTTAAAAATGACTCTATGAACTAATTTGTTGAACTATTTTCTAAATTGTTTATGTGAAAAATGAACGTATGTATATGTATCCTTTTGTAATTAAATTAACATTTGTGTAGTACTTTTATATTCGTAACAGTTCAAGCCGAGTTATTTTTAAAAAAACGTAAGAAGCCATGTATATCATCTCTCATTGATTACATGCAATAATTATTACCAGTATTATAGTTGGAACTAATTAGACTCCCTCTTTTCCTCGTGAAAAGGGAAGTCTAATTATAATGTAGATGAAGCTTAATTACTTATATCCATCGTGCAATTCGCGATAAGCGGCATGCTATGTGATATCCGTGTTGGCACAGCCTGTGATCACTACGATGCTCTAGGGCACATGCAATAACATTAACAATTATTGATTGATCGCTCCGTGTGTATCGGGAATCGCAGAAGCGCGAGAACGATCAGCACCGCGATCCACTTCTTCCACGCCAGCGCGAAGCTTAATCAACGTGATGCGCACAACGGAAAAATGAGCTCGCGCACTCATTAGACAAATTGAATTCGGGAACCGACGCGAATCGCCGATCGATGAGGCATCGAGCGCCCGCAAAGAGGATTAACCCTTGTGTCAATATCCGGACACCAACTAAAAAATTAAATGTGTTTTTAATCCTTGCCGAAGGTCTATCAAGTGTTTTCGGAACTACATTCTTTAAACAGTTTTTATAGGGCAGATGGAATTACTTAGATTACTTGGAATAAAATTTTTAATTTTTTAACACAAAGATTTTACACGCCTTCGGTTTAAAAGCTTCAAATTAATTATATATACACGTGTGACATAACTGGGATACTTGGACATTCGTATGAGAAAACTGCATTATAAAATGTGAATTACATGTAATATGTAGTAAAGGAAATTTTTCGATTTATTATTTCATTTTTTTACAAAAACGTCTTTAGATAACTCGTTATTTTAATTTTTGAACTCATCTTCGAGTTTCTCATCCGACATCGTTTTGCATAATCCTCAATTATATATTTTTAATACAAATGAGTACGTATATCGACTAATTTATGAAAAACATTAAATATCCTGAGAAATGTATTGTTTTTATTACAATCTGAAAATTTGTAATCAAATGTAGAAACCATTCTTTATCGCTGGTAGATTTATCTTTTGCAAAGTCATCTGTTTCCAATAATGCCTTTAGATAAATATCATTTTTATTTTAAATAATCTAAGGGATGAATATATGCAATTCTTATAAAGTTTTTAAAATACATCAAATAAGTTTGTTTTAAATTACAAAGAAAATTGTTGCTTTAAAAATTCTTCCGACAACTCCATTATTAAACATCATTATACTTTATAAATATCAGAATAAAAATTTTGTGTAATTTCTAGTCGAGAAGATATTTCTACAAATGCGTTGTAATAATTGCAGTGCATAAATTGTAACTTGTACGTATTTCAGTCGATACTGCAATTTGTTTTTAATATAAAAAATACGAACTTTTCCGTCATTAGGGGATCATATAATCTGATATTCGAAAAACTTGCAAATACTTACCGTTCTTCGTACAAGCATGAAGGCCAGTCTTCGTTTTCGAGACGGAATGTTTGGAGACTTAATTTTCTATTAAATAAATATCCACCGATCCCATTCGCCTAACTAGCATTTCTCGCGTGCAACGGTAAGAAATGCGATCGCGATTATTTCCATCTATAAATATTCGCGCGTCTTCTGCCCACGCGCGCGGAGGAGCGTAATTGTTATACCTTTTTTTACTATGTGAATTCTTAATATATCAAATAGGTATATATTAAGAATTCACATATTAAAAATTGTTTGACTATCTACATCTTGCCTTGGACCTAATAGGCTTCTCCTTTCTTGTAATTATTATACTTTAGCGAGAAAGGAGGAGAGCGGAGGTGGCGTGTGGTGTATTAATTCAGAAAGTTTCGCATCACGCGCGGCTTGTAATAAAAGCACAGCACACCGGCGGAGTTCACCGGGTACGACAGCCGCGCGGATGTCGCGTGCGCGCCGCACACGCGGGCGAGCTTTTAATTGGATCCCGTTAAATATCGCGCGTCGCGCCTTTTCCTCTCGGTTGTCACCGAGATGAGGAAAAACGGCCGGTCTTTTGTTACTCCCGCGATAAGTAAGACTCGCGTTACGCTCCTCGCGCCGGTCGCGCGCGCCTTGTTAAATCTCGACGCGCGTCTTTACGAACCGCGCATAAATTTGGCGCGTCCACAAATTCAGGGCGCGCTTGGTGCGCGCGATTGTTTAAAAGCTTTTCCCTCGCCACCTCCTCGATTCCGATCCTATCGCGGAAATGTTCGGAATTGTTCAATTATTTCTTAGATTTCTATGATCAGATTGAACTGATCTCTCGTACTTTGACTTGACTCTTCAACCAAAGAGTGCAATAATTTTTGAGTAATATTTTACTAACATAGCTATATTGGTCAAACAAACGATATGAGATCAGTAACAATTGTGTGAACAAATTACCTGAAAAGGGTCCAAATCTGGGACCGAAACGTCGTTTTTTTTTTAAATAAAAGCATTGGCCAGTGTAGGCCGTTTAAAAATTTACTAATCTCAAGTTTAGCAGCTTTTACTCTAATTGGTCAAATTTCAATTTAATTTCAATCTCAAGCCGTAGTCTGATACGGGCTTTAGTAGAACAGTGCATTGACCAAACATTGGTCCAATATTTCGTTGTATTGTATGGTTGTAGCCAATGCACTGTGGTACTGGCGAAGTACCCAGATGCATTTAAAGTTTAAAACGTCATTCGCGTTGGGAATCATCGGTTGCGTGTTACTGCGTGAGAACATTAGGCGAAATCGTATATAATATATAATTGTAGAAAACCCCCGAAACCCACATACGTACGTTATTTCGAAGGTCAAGGTCGGCTATAACATGATCGTGACAAACAACAGTCGGGACGTTCTCAGAAGAACTGACATTTCGGTAATTTCTCTGTCCGACGATAAAGTCAAAACGATGCTCGCATATAATTATGATTTTATTAAAATTGCGAAACAACAAGAAATTGCCTTCTTACATCGATCCACGAGGTTTATATGTTCCATATCGTTTATGTGTACATTTAAAAAAATTTTTTTTAACAAGTCCAAGGAAAGGATAATTTATACCTTAATATTATGCATCGCATGAATATTAATATTAAATGCGTAAGATAGAATGTAGGTATATTCCTTAACTTGATTACAATAAATGTATAATAAACCCGGGCGGACTTATGAACTCTGATATTTCATCGTACTGGATAGTTTTCGTATTCAGTCGATATAATCTAAAACAGCAGACGGGACCACGAAACATCGCGCGGGAGCATTTTTACAAGAAGCAGGCGTGCGGAAGACACGCCAAAAAGCCTTTCTAATTTCACTCAGAAATCTATTATTTCACATGTCCCACCGGATACATTCTTCCGTCTGCCCCTAGTACGTTTCGACTCGATACTTGGTCGTATTGAGCCAATGTTTAACCAAAGTTTGGTCAATGCACTGTGCCACCAGGGGTGACTTTTTCCGCCGCGTGGCACGCACCGACACTTATGCCGATGGACCCGACGGCCCGTGGCACGGCACTGGATTTAAGCCTACCATCCGGCGACGCATTAGTCGTATTAAACCATTAGATACCCGGTGGTATGTTCCAGGGTGTGTTTACACGGCTGGTGTAACACGAACACGACCCATATTTTCGATTTGAATCGAGACCGCGCCGCGCCGCGCCGGCGCGCTCATCGAGGGGCTCGCGCGTCCGTGCGCGCGGCGCGAGAAAGAAGTCATTTAGTTGCGCGCAATTAGAGATCCTTTATGCAATGTCAAGCGCTCCGTTATGCGCCAGTTACGGACAATGAGTACGTACGAATTACCACGAATGGGCTCGTTCACCATTCGTTAAAAGCCGCGCGGAGCCGTGCGCGGGGCCGCGAGTTTCCGTCCGCCGCTTTCTCGGCATCCCTCTTCGCGCGGGATCAGTTATTTAATGATTAATCTCCGATCCCCTGAACGACCGCGATTGTGAGAACGGGGAGGCGAAGGGGGGGCGCGGAAGCGAAATGTTCTCCACCTTAGACTTCTCCGTGATTTACGACGGAGTTGAAGAGGAATTCTCATTTTGCTAGTAATTTATATACGCGGTGATTTCTCGCGTTTGGAGCGGCAGATACGTTTAACGATTGGAATCCTTTTTTCGCTTGCAAACTTCATGTGACAAATCGTACTTTATTGCAATAGTTTCATTAGTAGTAAAAATTGTTATAATTTCGTCATATCATTTCGTATAAATTCGAACAGTGAAATGAGAAGAAACGAAGAGAGTTTAATCGTCGGAAAGTACATCACGGTTCGATGCGGGAGCTTGCGGAATATTCCCGCTGATATTCGCTGTTACACGAGAAAACGAAGACGCTTTTCAACCACGGCGCCATATTATGTTTCAGATAGATATCCAGGTGCACGTGTACGCACGTAATACACCCGAGTAGTCCAGCATCCGCGAAGAAGAGGGAGAGATAGGGCGAAAGAGGGAGAGAAAGAATCTATGTGTCTGTGTGTGTGTGTGAAAAATGTGCTACTTTATTTATCCGGTTAACCCGGATAGTAATTCTATACCCGTATAAGCTTATCGAGGTATCCAGTTGTACATCGTAGAATGTGACAATTAATTTCTGTAATGTAATCATTTGACCATCAGGGGACAAAGCGCAGGGCGAAGGTCCCGTCGCTCGTTAACATACGTGCGACTATAATATGCTCGCTAATTACGATCATTTATTGCATTGCCCACGCTTTTAACTATTATGGAAATGACTTTGGCACGATCTAGCGTGGATTTTACTCGAACCTCGGCGGTCGTTTCTATGGTAGCGGCGATTCGGTTGCGACATCCTGTTGGATCGTTCAAGAATGTCGCGACAGAAACCCAGTTTCATCAACGTCGCTTAACTTTAAACTTGGCTCAATTCGTTCTTTGCCTCTTTCCGACTGTTACCCTAAAAAGAGACAAACATGAATTAAACTGAGATTAAAGTTAGGCGACGTTTGGTGAAACCGGGCCTAAGATGCGACTCCAACTTTCGGCAATTGGAAAATGTAACGTAATTATTTTTACCTTAATTTTCTTCGGGCCAAACGTCGGTTAACCAGAGTTCAGTCGACTCCCTATCTTTTTCTATCTTATCGTCTACGAAGAGACAGAGAATCAATTTACCTTTGGTTAGCAGTTAATCCCCTTATGTCCGTTTCTACCACTGCAGATTAACTTTAATCTCGGTCTTAAATTCTCATCTTTTCTAATTTTTGAAACTAGAAAAAGATTATTAAAGTGAGTTGAACCGAGATTAAAGTTAATCTGCGTTGGTAGAAACAGTAGAAACGGGCATTAATAGTTGATGTATCGCAAAACACCACGCAGTATTGAGCACAGTGAGAAATGCGTCGTCGATCGATGTCGAATCGACGTCAATTTGACGGTGTCGATGCTTGCTTTACGTTGATCGCCCAAGTTTCACGAGAAAAACGAATTAACGCGACTCCACGTATTTTCGACAGTCGGAAAATGCCGCGCGTTATTATTTGAATCCTTATTTTCTTAATAATTAGTACACCTTGAAGAGTACCACGCGACTCTCCATTGCCTACCCTAGTGGCACAGGCTGAACATTGGCCCGATACAATCAACTATTAGGCCAGTCCCAGATAGCACACATAGCTCTATGAATATTCTTCTGGAGCGCATATACTCTTAATTTCAAAATATTCCAATCGAATATTCTATAAATATAGATTATTACAATTAGAAATCGTATATTCATAACAAAGAAGAACGTTTTTAGAATATTCGCCGAGAATGTCTTAGGAATATTCGTTCAGAATAATTTTTTAATATTTATCGAGTTTATGTATTGCACATGTTTATTGGGCAATACACTCATCTTATGCAAAAAACAGTGAAACCTGTAATCATACCAGGGTTGGGAAAGTTACTTTATAGAAGTACCTAGTTACAGTCACAGTCTTTTCGCTAAAAATGTAATTATAGTTACAGTTACAAGGTACCGATTTTTCTATAATCAATTACCTCGTTTAGACCGAATAAAGGCAATCTTCTATCTGTGTTAGTATCAGTGAGTCTCCATACGGTCCCAGGCATAAAGAGAACTGAATAACTAAAACCGGAAGAAAGGAAGGGGAACTTGTTGAGGGGGTGTCGAACCCAACGCAAAATTAAAGGAAAAAAATTGAAGATAAAATACGTGAACGATACTGTAAATTGATTATAATTATCTAATTATATTTGAATGAGAAGAGAAACGGAATTTTTTTATTTTTACTTTTTAGAGACTCGCCACAACTCGACAGAGGGACGGATCCGTAACAATAGCGTTAAAAGACAGTGGCACCGCGTTATCGGTAAGGTGAAACTTATAATCAGAAAGTGTGGTAAACGTGTGAGTTAATTTACAGTTAGAGATGGAGAGAAAGTAACGAAGTTAAGTTGGAGTTACCAAAAAAGAAAAGTAACTGTAACTTCGTTACAAGTAACGAGTTACTTCCCAACCCTGAGTCATATTATACCATATAGAACCGACACGCTATATTCGATAGATTATTCTATTCACATCCGAAAAAGATTTATAGCATATATAAGAATGGCCTATGGAATATTCCAAATATTCTTGAAGAATATTCTTAAAATGTTCGTAGGAGTGTCCTGTGCTATCTGGGATGTTTAACCAACGTTTGGTCAATGCACCGTACGTGCTATCAGGGTATTCTTCAACCCAGCGAGAAACGACTCGTCGATCGATGTCGGTTCGAAATAGCGTTGCAAGCTCGAGATGATCTCGAACATCTCGAGATGACGTCCGCCATAAGGAAGCCCGAAGTTACGATGAGGCAAGAGCCGATGTTTTCAAGAGTCTCTCTTTTTCCAGAGCTAATTTCCCTCGTTGTCAACTCGAATCGCGCTTCTGCAAGCCGCTCGTACGCGCGGGAATAATAGCCCGCGTTAGATAGAGTAGTATTTCGCAAGCCACATTGTGCTGATTGTACCCTATTAGGGGGCCGCTATCGGCCCGCAGTGGTCCGCGTTTTTCTCGCTGCACGACGGCCCGAAGATATAACTACACAAATGAACGGATGTCTGATTGCGCCCCACTCTCTTCCCCGCCAAGTCAGGCCGCCACACGCGACGTTCAGTACCGGACGTGGCTGCCTGAATTTCGTATTACATCGATGCCAAACGCGAACCGAACGTCGTGTACTTATCAAGGCGACAAGGCGCGAATAGGATTGGGCCGTTGAATCAGGTGCCGAGTGCGCGCGGTAATGCCCGCGGGAATCGTGAACGGCGTACGAACGGGCGAATTGGTGGACTCGCGGGATCCGCGTGGACCGGGCTCACGTGCTCCCTGCTCGCGCTCGGTTGCATTTGGCAGCGAAACAATTACGACATTACGACGCGGGGTCTCTCGCGAGAAGACGAACGGGGAAGGAGGAGTGTCACGCGCGGAAGAGCGAGAAGGCGCGCGTGACACGAATATCCGCGGCGGGCGATAAGCTCCCGCGATATATATCGACGGCTGCCGAGGTCAAGCGCGCCGAGCACGTGAAATAGGCAACCGGTAACCGTGTGACGCGTCGCGTAAATGCGAGGCGCATTCGTCGCATCCATCCACGTCTGTCACGGTCCGCCGCCGCCGCCGCCGCCTCCGCCGCCATCGAGTCCAAGTCGAGCCAAGTCAAGCGACCCTTCCGGCCCGGCGTTGTCGACCTTCCGAAGGCGGAAGGAAGAGGCGCGAAGCGGTACCGGCCGCAGGAGAGATTCCACCTCCACCTCCGTCGCGTGCTCCACTGTCACCGAGAAGAGAGCACCTCGGCCGAAGCCTCAGTTACACGCCACGGGGTTGCGAAGGCGGACGCGCTCGCTCCATCCTCTTCGGCCGCGCCGCGGAGGACGAGACCTCCCCCGCTCTCGTTTCGTGCACGTCCTTTCGCGCCCATTAAGTCCCCGGGCTAATTAATCGGAGAAATAAATATTTGCCCGTGACGACACGCCGCGTACGGTGCCGGTCGATCGATCTCCCTCTCTATCTTCCCCGTCCGAGGGGGTTCGGACTCTTCACGCGAGTTTTCCCGCCCTTTCGATGACGCACGCACGCGGGTGACGCCGTTCGGTTTGTTAATTAACCGGACCAGCGTGGACCACCACCGGTGACCAGCGAGCGGCTGGATTTCTCACGAATCTCCCCCCCCGCGATCGACGGCGAGGCTGTCCAGGTGCTCCCACGTGTGCGCTCGCGGTTCAAGGACGTCGGCAAATGGACAATCGATTGATATCGATAAGGATAACGGCGATAGCGCGAGGCCGGCACGAGCGCGAAACTATAAGTCTCGGCTTCCGCGCCTCGTTTCGCCGGCGACTCGCGTGACACGCAGGCTCTAGTAGATGATACCGCGCGGAGATCGTCTCACGCGCTCGCGTAATTCGGACTCCGGATGAGTAATGGACGGGAAACGCGACGCTAACGTATCACGCGACGAGTGAGCGACCGAACGACCGATCGATTGTTCGTTCCTTCGTTCGTCCTTCAGGACGAACAGACGGAAGGACGCAGCGCGCGAGACCTGGGACATCCGTTCGGGAAGAAGATTCGTAAGGAAAAGGGAAACGGGACACCGCAACGGTTCGACCGACCCGGCGAGGAGGAAGAGACGTCGCGCGAGTTTTATGCGCGAGGCTGAAAGGTTTCTCGGGTGGCGATCCGTGGAAACGGAAACCGAGACATCCGCCACGGACGAGCCCGACACAGCTGCAGCTGAAGGGAACGAGACTCGGGGTGACAAAAATCGATCTTCAACATTCGAACGCGAGCGAGAGGGAGATCGACGGCGGAAGCGACGAGTCTGATTCAACGATACGATCCTCGACGCGAGAATAGAAGCGTGCGCGAATCTAGAACGTAAAAATAGAAACGCGGACATTTATCTAGCGAGACTTCCGATTTCTCTGCCCTCGGCACGTGTGGCCCAGCGCCGTCGCGCCACTAAATATTCGACGGGGATATTAATAATCGCCAGTGGGACTCGCAAGAGAATATCGGACCTCCTCGGGGCAGCGATGACTGTCGCCCGTATCGCCGGCGAGTATCGCGACGTCACGATTGCCCCGATCGATCCCGCGGCGCGGTGCTGCGGCGTGCCTCCTCGCGATCGCGAGGGACCGACGAGGATCGCGCGCCGCCGACGGCGCGAATAAAGAGGATCTCATCTATCCCCCCCTTCGATGGTCGTCGCGATGGGATTCCCGGCGAACGCGAGCGAGCCGCCGTTCGACTACCTGGACCGCGCCGGGCCGACGAACGCGTCGTCCGTGAGCGTGGGGCTGAACGTTCCGTACACCGTCTGCGAGATCCTGGTCGCGATCTGCGCCGTCTTCGGCAACGGCCTGGTGATCGTCGTCTTCAGCAAGGAGCGGAAGCTACGCCGGCGCACCAACTACTACATCGTCTCGCTGGCCACGGCCGATCTCCTGGTCGGGCTGTTCGCGATCCCGTTCGCGATCCTCGCGAGCATCGGCCTGCCGACGAATCTGCACGCCTGCCTGTTCACCGTCTCGGTCCTCGTCGTCCTCTGCACCATCAGCATCTTCTGCCTGGTGGCGGTGTCCGTCGACCGTTACTGGGCGATACTGTATCCCATGGGATACTCGCGCACCGTGCGCACCAAAACTGCCATAGGTGAGCGACGAGCCACCCCTTCGCCGCCGCGCCGCGGCCGGCGTCGTTAATTTCGATACTCGATACCGGGCGCTCCTCCCGCGGGGAGGATTGATCGCCGCGATCTTTTGGGAGGTGACCAGCCCACGCTGGTCCGAGTTGACACCACACGCACACGATTACGCATTGCACGCACGTACAGTGATGGACACGGTGGTTGCGACACTTTTTTTTTTTTAATAACGTAAGGGTTGCGTTCGGAAATCTTCTTCTCCGAGGAATATTTTACTCGAAGGCCATTCCGAAACCATTTTGAGCTGTTTCGATCTATTTCTCGGGTAAAATATTCCTCGGAGAAAATGTTTTGGAACGTAAATCTGAATCCAAATGCGCGTTCCTAAACTCGTGTAGAAAAAAAAGTGTTACAACTATTCTGCCCAGCACTGTACACTTTCGTACTTCGCATTGCCATTACTGTACTCTGAAGTTCTTGAGCCTGGCATTGGTCCTATCAAGACCGCTCGAGGTCCTGAGCGACGTTACAATCACGCAAGAAGAAGAAGAAGAAAAAGAAGAAGAAGATATCGGGCGCTCGGTGTTTAGAGTCGAGATTAACGATAACCCAAGCCGCACGTTGATTCACAAAATGATCCAAGATCGCTCCTGCTCCCGCGAGATGCGCCGATTGATCTCGATCAATTTAGGGCCAGTTTCACGAACATTGACTGCTGACAGGAGGTTAATCGATTCGCTGTCTCTTCCTAGAGAATATAGAAAAAAAATACGTGGTCGACTAATCTCTGGTTAACGCAATTAACCAATGTTTGTGAAACTGGTCCTTAACGCAGTTAGACGAATCGATCTCTCTCGCGGCCTTTTTCGCTATAGGTTTCTCATTTAACAAGCCTGTACTTGAGCGTGATTGAAATTGCCAACGATTCGAATCGAGTAAATCGCAGCTCTGACAATTTGGCGCTCGTTACGTGGAATATGATCGGATATTATGGGCGGTATTCATAGTTAGATTTTATATTTAAGATCATCTTCAGATTCTCCGTAGCCAATGAAATGTTCCATACAGTACAAAGGGTGAAAATTTATTCCATCGAGAATAGAGTCCCTACAATCAGAGTCTGGCCAAGTTCTCGCACAAATTCTTCGGAAGAGAAAGATGTGCATTCCTTATTTCTATCTCTTTCTTTCACCTTCCTTCTCTTTCTTTCGGGAGTCGCCAGAAATAGAAGGACCAATCAGAAGTTGCCGTATGTTGGCCAGACTCTGATTACAGGGACTCTAATCGAGATTAGTTGCGAGCGTTGATACGATTAATCCTAGGTACCTCGTAGACACTCGGATACAATTTCCAGTGGCAGCTGATTGATGCGATGAAAGCGTGTAACGGGCAAGTACGCCTCCCCGGGCCATTCAAGTAATAGAAATTACGAGTTAGACGCGTGTTTGGCACTTAGCCGCTCAATTGCGGACTCGTTTGGCCAAGGGCCGGCCACAAAGAAAGCCCCGGCCGGTCTTTAGGTGCGTTATTAGCTACGTTGGCGACGTTGACGAAAGGGATGGGGCAGGGCGCCGGTGGTCCGACGCGAGATTCGAGCCCTGATTTTCAGGGCGCACGTGTGCACGCGGTAGGGACGCAGATCTACGCGGGCCAATATAATTACGTAGCGCTGCTCGCGTAATCCGCCATCCCGGTTTCCGTGCTAAGTCGCCTCGCATGACGCTGCGTCGCGCGTTCATTAAGCGCGGACGCACACGCCAATTAGCGCGAACGTGCAAAACAATCGTGAAATTGCATCGCGTGTTTCTTAAGATAATCGCAAAATCCTCGGGGTGTCTCCCTCCCCCACCGTCCCCGGGTCCTGTTCCGCGGAGCTCCGTGTCCGCGCACGGACGGGATTAACTGAATTTGAGGTAGTTTGGGAAGACACGCGCTTCGAAATGATCGGAGAAGGTGGAATCAACGAGATCGTAACTTTGTTTCGATGCTGAAAGCTGGTGGCAAAGGTGGATGATTCTACATTTTTGCACGGAGAGAATTTTCCCTTCAAATTTATCCTGAAAAATCACGTGATCGCGGGACAACGTGGCATTTCGAGGGACTTTATGAAATTTTGTCATACAGTTTACTAGTAAAATGTACGATAAAAAAACTCGTAAAATTCTTCGAAGTGCCACGTTGTCCGATTACACGATCTTAGTAAATTTTACGAGAAAATTTCTCTCCGCGTATACGGTTCCTGCAGATAATTCTATGCTCATCGCGGCGTTCTTCGACAGAGTGAAACTTATTCCCGGGAGATCGTACTTTATCTCGAGATGAATTTCTACTCTATCGAGCGCTCGACAGCCGAAGTAATAAATTACTAGAAATTCGGTTGACACGTTACGAAATCTCTCGGCACCGGTCCAAAGGGTTCAAGAATGAAAATAAAACGCACAGGCACTTCTACTATTTTTTCACTCTAAATCCAACAATCCGTCTTTCGGGATCCAATGATAAACGCAAAGTTCGTCAGCGCGTCGCGTTGCCACCGGATGTTTCGAGACGAGGGATAAGTATAAAATTCGTCACGGAGCGCGCGAAGCTCCTCGAGGCATTTCGAGACGTCAGGGCCTGCATATTGCCACCTGATAACGCGCATTTCCCAGCGGAGCGCCGCTTTCCACGAATGACGAACGAATCGATAAGAAACCGCGCGTCCATCCATGTTTCTGCGGGTGTACGCTGTATACACGCGTATAAAAATTGCCTCGTCGATATGGAAGCCGAAGCGAGCTCGAGAAGCCGCGAATCGCGATGAATGACCGATACGTAACGAACGGATGCGCGCGAACGAGTTATTATTCGAATCAACCAAGCGTGTACGCGTGCGGCCGTCGCGACGACGCGACGACGACGCGCCGCGTCGAGCCGCTGACGGTGAGGCGATCGATGGCGATTCAAAGGGAATTCTCTCACCCTGAAAGAAAACGGATCGACATACAGTTCCGACTTGGAACTGACGACTAACGACTCATTGTAGACCAGGACACCTGTCATGGAGTTGTTCAGAATGGATTCCGATCGGGATTGTTCAATTATTCTCTAAATTCCTATTGCGCCTTCCCGGGAAAAAGGGCATAAGTTCGATCGGAATCAATTCCAAACATTTTCATGCTGGGTGACTGCCCACATAGAAATTGGCATCCAGTGGATATCCATGAAACCTCCATAACTCCATGGGACATCTATCTCCATGGTGGAAGTCAGATAGGCATCTATTAGAGACCCGTGAAACCTCCGTATCTCCATGGACATCTATCTCTATAGTAGAAGTCAGATACACGTCCATTAGAGATCCATGAAACCTCCATAGCTCCATGGATATCCATCTGTATGGTGGAAGTTAGACGTCCATTAGAGATCCATTAAGAGATCTCTAGTGGATATGTATCTGATTTCCACTGTGAAGAGAGACCTCCATTCTATGAATATCTAACTCCATGGTGTCACCCAATTTGACTACTGAGGCATGAACACGCACCGGCATAAATGCTGTCCCTATCCTTATGAGGTGCACGCACACAACTAGAGTCCCTGTAGTTGTGTGCGTGCACCTTACAAGGATAGGGACAGCATTTATGCCGGTGCGTGTACATGCCCGCCTAGAGTGTAGGGAGGTCCAGGTTCAAACCCTGGCTGAGGGTAATACTTTTCGCAATAAATTTTCTGTATTATTAAAAATGCCAGATATGGCCAAGATAACACTGACGTTGTGTCTTGGAAATGTTCGGAATGGATTCCGGATCGGGGAATTATTCCGTTTCCCCTGGAAAACACAACAGAAATCTAGGACACAATTGAACAATTCCGATCGGAATCAATTCCGAACAACTTTCCGCGATACGTGCGCAGGTTTGACGGAAAGGACGATCGGTTCGCAGGTATAATATGCGTGTGCTGGGTAGCGGGCACCCTGGTGGGCTTCCTGCCGCTCTTCGGCTGGAACGCCGGCGAGACGAGCGACCACAGATGCATGTTCATGGACGTCATGGACTACGATTACCTCGTGTTCCTGTACTTCGCCACGATCATCTTCCCCGCCCTGCTGATCGCGGCCTTCTACGCCCACATATACCGGGTAATCGTGAAACAGGTCAGTCGAGCATGAGAGAGACAGAGAGAGATTCCGGATGGCGAGGGGTGGCCGCGCGGAGAAAGAAGAATAGCCAAAGAGTGTAACGGATACGACGGTTCTAGCTACAGCAAATCGTCACGATGGACCCCAGCGAACCAGGGGGCGGCGGTACCGTTCGCCGTCTCGGTGTCCTCCGTATCGGCGGCCGCCTGGGCGGTAATTATCACCAGACGACCGGGACGATGCTGCGCTGTCTTGGCGCGGCGCGCAAACGGGAGGTCAAGGCCACGCAGAATCTCTCCCGCATCGTCGTCTTCTTCATCGTCTGCTGGTTCCCGCTGTACACGATAAACTGCGTGATTGCCTTCTGCCCGGAGTGCCAAGTGAACGACTTCTTCATGAAATTCTGCATCATCCTCTCGCATCTCAACTCGGTCGGCAATCCCCTCCTCTACGCCTACCACCTCAAGGACTTTCGCATCGCCCTCAAGAACTTTGTCTGGCGATTGCTCTTCCCGCACAGCGACGTCAAGTCCAGCGTGATCAGCGTAATCCACGATCGGGGCTCCCTCGTTGGTTCGCAGAGGCAGCTTCAGAGGCGATTCAGCGGCTTCGATCAGCCGAGGAGTCAGAGGCCGAGCCTGCTACGCCAGGTACGTCGATATTTAATCTGCTTCCCAGTAAACACACACACACACACACGAGTAACATTGTTCAGCAGGAAATTATAATATTCATGTTATGTAACTGTTACTTTGGTGTTCGCTGAGTTAAAAGTTCTGTAAACATTTCATCGAACGCAAGAAATGCGGAAGAATTCATTTTCCTGCATATCTTATTCCTAAGCAAGAAATTAAATCTATTCCGATTTAAGGATCAACGAACAGAGATCAACTTTTCAGAAAATTGCTATTCTATTCTTCTATTATTCTTCCTTTTCGTTTTGGTACTTTAGTTATATCGTCTTCGTATCTTCTTCGCTACAAAAGGTAAACTGCATAATGTTATCGTCTTAACTGCGTGTTGAAGAACTAAAGATAAATACACATATGTATGAACTTTGGAAAAGAACTATTGTTAGTAAGAGATTTACTACATGGAGAGAATTTTCTTTTAAAATTTATCCCGAAAATTGTGTTATCCTGGGACAACACGGCATTTCGAAGAATTTTATGACTTTCTTGACATTTTACCGTACATTCCACTAATAATTATACTCAAAAGCCTGTGTCCACGGAATAGCTGCCGGAATAGTTGGTTGACTACGCATTTCTCAGAACTAGAACTTGGACCAAGTTCTAGCATCGTGAACACAGGCTTTTACAATTAGTATACATTGTACTAGTAAAATGTGCGGGGAAAATTTCAAAATACTCTCATAAAGTTCTTCAAAATGCCATGTCGTCCCACGATCACATGATTTGCAGGGTAAATTTTAAGAGAACATTCTCCCCGTGTACAGTAACGTGGTAGCCAAATGATCCAAGGTACGGGAGATTAAGTTTATTTTAACACCGGAAATGTAATCGGATCTATTTAAATTACTAAATGATTCTATTCCGCGCAACCTTGCTCGATTAAAACTTGTTTTTGTCTTATTCGCAACTATTGGTCACCTTGTAGGTGATCGATGGGAGCAGAAAGATGGACGGCGCGTATTTCGAAAGGCGCGTTTCGTCGATTCGGACGAAAGAGACGAAAAACGAGCGCCAAAATGCCACGGATGTCTGCACCGCGGTCGGAAGTCCGGTTCTGATGAGCAACTCCGCGCCGGCGACGAACAGACGGACGAGCGAGGAGGAATTGGCCAGCGACGGCGACATCGTCGACCGCAACGACGATGCGATCGACCGCGAGGTTTCCTCTTCGATGGAACTGCAAACGTACAAGTCGCTCGCGCCGCTGCTGCCCGCGGAGGAGGACCGCGTCGAGGAAACGCCACCCGCGTCGATCTTCGTGATCGAGGCCGACGTGGTGAATCACGTCTCACCCGATCGTCTCCTCGTCCTGGAGGAATCTCGGGATAGAATTGACGTTGCGGGCGGCTAATAGAGCAACCGCGAGAGAGGTGAACTGGACATTCTTTAGCAAACGGGACACTATAGGAAATTTGCATTTATTTATCAAAATCTCTCGGTGTGCCGATTTAATTTATCGTCAGTCACTCGGCGAGCGCGCCGTATGGCTCGCGTCATACGTGTTTTAGCGCTTAAATGAATCACATTAAAATGTATTACGCTGAAACGGATCAAGCAGCGATCTGCTAGATCCTCGTAAAGACAAAGACAAAGACGGAGTGCGTGGAACGTCCGACTTTCTTTTTTTACCATGTATTGTAAATAAAGCCTAGACTAGAGTAGGGCAAATATTGAGACAGTCGCGAGGACACCTGAGGAGAAGGACCGTGTTCTCCGCGAGGACAATGCCGCATCGTGTGCGGCGATTCGTGCAAGATTGCCGAGTGCTAAGTATACCGACGCGGGGGACAATATACTTAATGTTGCACAGCAGAACAGTGCACGTTGTGATTGTGTATGTGTGTGTGTGTGTCTACGCGTGCCTGCGTGTTCTCGTAGAACATTTGCACGACGCTTGTGCAATACTCCGTATATCGTATGATTGGCATAACTAGACGACCGTCGCGCGCCATTCCTCCCGCGTTTCCTCTTCATACTCTTTAAGCTAGCGCCACACTATTCGCGATTCGTATAATTGTCAATAGTGTGGAGGAAAAATTGGAAAAATTTCGCCATTCGCAGAGATTCGCTAGCCGAGCGATGTTTTGAGGAAAATAGTGGTTGTTTGACTAATATTGAAAACTTGACTAATTGTAGACTTATGATACAAGTCCTGTAACAGGCAGAAGTTCAAAGTTGTCGAAGTTAACACGAACGAAACGACAAATAACAAATTACGAATGATAAACGACGCGGAGAGAATTCTTTTTAATTTATCCTGAAAATATTGTAATCGTGGAACAACACGGCATTCCAAAGAATTTTATGAGGGTTTTGAGAAATTTTACCGTACGTTTCAATAGCGATTTTACTTAATATACATTTTACTAGTAACACGATTACACGATTTTCTATAGTGTGGTAAGTAATAATGAAAGTCCAGCGAATTTCTGCGACTCACGAATCGCGAATCGCGCATTACGAATTGCGCATTGTGTGGCGCTAGCTTTACACGCCAGAGCTACTATTCGCCGGTTACTGAAGTGATATTTTAGCCGGCAAGAATATCGCGGCCCAAAAAATAATCGACCGTCATTAAAAGTTAGCAAAGTTCAGCAAACCGGTTCCTCCAGAAATGATAAATAGATAACAAGAATTTTAGTCACCGACCACTTTCGGCCGAACTTTGCCCTAACAGAATACCGGCTCGTGTCCAATTGAATTTTTCACGGACAAGAAAATTCGAGGAATCTTTGTCGAATACGTTTATTGTTATATCAAACGATTTAAACGCGCGCCTTTTTCTCTTCGCGAAATGCGGGCGGTACAAGTTTATGGTTAATTGTCAATAGAAACCGCGAGGTCTTGTTAAATTAACAAATATTATACGAACATGAACGCGTCGGTATAGTTATTCTAATACTCAACATCGCTCTCTTTCTTTCATCTTTCGCACTTATTTATTTTAGCGTCGATTGTATTAAATCTCAGAAAATTATTTGTGCCATTTTCGATTGAGAACTTCGATCAATCGAATTCTAGGTTCTACAAAATGTTCGAACATCTCGTCGTAACGATTATTATATTAAAGAAACGATTATTATATAAAAAATAAGATCGGTTGAAAAAGATGTTTATGTGTGCGCGTGTGTAATGACGCGTGTGAACTTTTAGCGTACAATAAATACCCTGTGTACCGGGCCATAACGAGTGAACAAAATCTATGTCATTAAAGCTTCGCGCGTGTAATCCATATTGTGCATTCGATGCTTCATTATTGTCACCTAAATTATATTGTAGGACGCCTCGGCAACAATTTAACATCTTCCACGTAACTTTCCACAATTTCTATATAAATTTCAGAACTTTGTTAGCACAATTTTATAACTTTTTATAAAGTTTCTCAGATTTTTTATATTAATATTTAATGAAAACATTTTTCACAGATGCTGAGAAAGTCTTTTCTAAACTTTTTTCATTGTAATGTAATTTCAGGAATATTTCTCACCCTGTAATTACCGATGAAAATTTATTGTTAAAAAAATCTCCTTAGGCTTCAGGTATTTTTCAGAAATCTTCCTAAACTCAAAGTACGAGAAAAACATTCTTAAACACGCCCAGACAATTTTCTTCACCAAGGTATACTCTCGTTTATATCCTTTCCGGCCTATTCGACATCGATTGACATCATTTCTCGCTGGGAAGTGACACATTAATACGTTCCTGCGTCCCAGCCAAAATATTCGCGATCTGCGCCCGATCGGGTACAAGATGTTAATTAAAAAAAAAGAAAAGAAAGTATCGTCATCGATAAATTTCGCGCGCAAGAGTCCACGACACGTGCCGCGCACCCGACACATTCAAGATGCAACAAGTGGCGGGAAAACATGGCGGCGGCCACGGTAACGCGTTTCCCGCCTTTTTCGATTTGCCGTGCCGGGGGTCGCCGGGGAGCACGTTGGAGTCGGTGCGTCGGGCTGGAGACGCTGGAGTCGTTCGGGATGCGATTTGAGAGCGCCGAGACACGGCTCTAGGCGCGTCGACATCGAGAAACGATCGTTCTGAAACGAAGAAGCATGGAGCCGAGCGAGGTCGAGTTCCTCGGCGAGAAACAGCTGGTCAGCATAGTGCCGAACTTCAGCTCTGACGTCATATACCTGATCTCGGGCTCGGTGGGGCCGTTCCGCGCCGGTCTGCCGGTCAAGGTGCCGATCTGGCTCGCCGTGTGCCTGAAGCAGAAGCAGAAGTGCCGTATCGTCAGCCAGGAATGGATGGACATCGAGAGCCTGAACGAGAGGAAGGAGATGGAGAAGATATCCAAGTGAGTCCCGCCTCTGTCGGAATTGCTCGTCGCGTTGGCTGACGTGACACGTCTCGCGCTTCCCTGCGAATAATCCTCGCCCCCGAGTATCTCGACACACAAATTTCGTAGTACTTTAGCCGACTCGGTGTGGAAACGCCCGTTTACAATGTCACGTTGCAATGTTCCAGGCTGTTCACGGCGATGCCGAGCTGCCATTACATGGACGAGAGTCAGATCTTGCTGAACGTAGCGAACGGCGACATTCCTGACGTGGACGGAATAAGAATCGCCGTGAAGGTAGGTAGGACCGGCTGGATGTAGTATAAAAAGAGGAGGATACTTGTACGAAAGACTCATGTGCACGAATTTGCATCGTAGGACATCTGGGATATAAGAATGTCTAAATTGCGCACGTCCGTGGACGCTTTTGTGAAGAGCGAGGGAGTGCACGCGAGACTGGATCATCTGACCACGATGGAGATCAATGGAATACGTCCGTTGCTGCCACACGCATTAGACCAAATATTACGGCTACAGTCTGTAAGTACAGGTTTCCTGGTATGCCTATTTTCCTTGCGTACATGCGGGAACTCTTTGCCAGTTTTAGTGTCACTGTGTACAATTGTTGCTATAATTCATGTCGTATTGCGATGATTATTTTACGCACGGGCTCGTTTTCGTGATTGTTTCGCAGGCGAATACAGGAGAAACGAATTCCCAGCAAAGCAGTGGAAGTACGTAAAGAAAGTAACAACTATTACTCATTCGTTATTTATATTATTGTGATATTGTCAGTAGACGGATGTGAATATTTTTATAATCTTTATAGTTTAATTGTACAATTGGAAAAACCTTCATATCTGGTATTTTGTGTGTTGTACACACACACACACACATACATACATACATACATGTATGCAGAGCTTGGTGTCTTGAGTTAAATCTTCAATTTATTTAGTCAAGAGACACAGGCTGCGTTCGGGGAGACGCTATTAGCGCTGAAAACGTCAGTCTATCTTCGTTACTCACTATATGCCGAACGAAGATAGAAGAACGCTTTTAGCGCTAAAAGCACCGCTCCCCGAACGCACCTACAATTACATTCCTTGAATTTCTTTTGATTTTAGACACAGGAGACACGTATTGTTTTCCCAGTGAAAGATACAGATAGTATCTATGCATATCTGTATTTGTGTTGGAATCTTTAAAAGAAAGATACCAAGCTCTACGTATGTAGGGTAAGGTGACCAAATTCGGATCAACAATTTGATGAACCGCTAATAAGAGACGTGAAAACACGTCGATGCCTTTTGTGATATCGACAATATAGCATAAAGTTGTAAATATATAAAAGCGCAAGATTTAAGTGAATTACTTTAAAATGTCGCTTACTAGCGACTCATGAAATTGTTGGCCCGAATTTGATCACCTTACTCTGTCATTTCGTATTTCAATATTTAATCGTATTATAACATGTAGTACAGATGCAGGAAAGAAAGTAGACGATATTTTATATGTGAATATTATACAACACTTTTATTAGCCAGCTGATTTTCAAATTGTTACATACATTCACTAGCATATCTCGATCACATTTTCTCATTATTACTATATGTGATAAGTGCGTATTTACATTGGTGCATTTATCTCGATTGCTCTTCGTTGTCCATTATCGTATGGCATTCCGCGTTTATATTTACATTTGCTAAGCTTATAATACACACAGTTCCTTAGCAATCTTTGATTTTGTTCTCCTTAAAAGTAATCGTGCGATCGTAAGGCCACTCGTTAGAAAAATCGAGGCGATTTTTGAGAGTTCTATATCTTTGATTTCAAAAAATAGCTCAAGACACCTGCTCTTCTTCGTTGAATTTCTCGAAAATATATATATACAATTTTGTGCGAGAATTGTTAGAAAGACATCAAGTACTTGAAACATGTCGCATAATAATAAGTAGCAATCAATATTAAGTTCTCGCGTGCTTCGATTATACGCCACTGGAAGTAAAGAAATTACATAACGGTAAAATCTCTTGAGAGATCGAAGAGACAGGAAAAAGGAATTAGAAAATGGATAAAGTTAAATACATTCTGGCGTATTACGCATTTGGCAGTGTTAATAAATTAATTATAATTACCGGCAATATTTGCGGTGTAACACGAGTTAATAAGTGAAAAAACTGTTATGACGCAGGCGGGCGGCGGCATAGTTTCCCCAGTGCGTTTTCAGTCGATTTTAATTTGAACTACCGTGCATTATTTAAAACGACATAAGTACCATACATCCCGCTCAAGCGAGTACTCAAAAATATCACATAAGTCCGTTTTCCGAAATGTTTCTTCAGAATCGTTAACGCGTTCCCGTTAAACCGCTACGATTTTACTAGGATCCACTTTAACTCGAATAAACATGGTATCGTCTTTGACGAAGTGTCGTTTCTTCACCATCTCGTGGGAAACGAATCTCGGGAAGCCGAAACCAAGAGAATCCGGTTCGCGGCTCGGTCGCTGAAAGTTCTTCCAGGTCGGATCCGGTATGAAGCTTTCCACAATATTGCAGGCCTTTTCCGCGACGACCGTCTGATCGAACATCGTGAACGACACGCTGTGCGAGAATGGCCATCGCAAGAGCGCATCGTATTCGCCGGGTAGGATCTTTATGTATATCGAGATGTGACTGCCCTCTCCGGTCCCGTTCCCATTCAAGAAAATGGAAGCCTATGAAATTGAAAAATTCTCTTAGAAAATTAACGCTCGGCGTTTCATTTCCTACTCTCTAAAAGTCTATCGGTGGATTATCTTGTAAATGCACATCGGTGACTATTCACTGTTTTCAGTGATAATCCACTGATCGACTTTTAGAGAGTAGTTCCATTTATCTGGACAATACAAGTGCATGGAGAGAGATGTCCAATAGAGGCGTGGAAAATTCGCAAACAATCAAATTTAAGAAACATAGCTCCATACTCATTTAAGAGGTTTTCAACCACACTAAGGGCCAATCTCACAAACGTCGGTTAACTGTTAACCAGAGCTCAGTCAACTTCCTATCTTTTTCCATTTTATTATCTAAGAAGTGACAGAGAATCAATTGACCTTCGGTTAGCAGTTGACCGACGTGTGTGAAACTAGCTCTGAGAAATATCGAGTGACTACATTTTTTACTATTATGTATATCTTTTATAAGAGTTTCTATAATTAATACATTTAATTTAAGACTCTTATCTCATCAAATGCAGTCGTGCCGAATTTGGATGTTGAACATGTTATTTATTTTACAATATTTGATACAATTTTGACGTTCGAGAAACTCGTATATATCGTCACACATTAATATAAAATAATTGTAATTATAACATTACTCCTTAAACAGAATGTCACAATTTAGTTCCTTGTTAGGCTCTCCTTATTAGGACGCAGCGACAAGAGAGTGATCGAGCCGGAAGTTATAACTAAATTCGATCACTGATTTATACAGTATTCAATTGTACGCACCTGTAACTTGTATCCGTATTGACTAGTATAAAAAGGTGGACTGACAAGCTCCATTCCTTCCTTCGCTTTCGCTTCCGACATCTTGGCGGCATAGTCCGTGATCTTCCATATAAGCGTGCCCGTGTAATTTAACGACAGCTTGCTAATCGCCGATTTCAAGCTCGTTATTTGATGTTGCTGCTTCGTCACCAGGCTACACATGAGACTTAGGTGCATCTTTGCGGATTCCTCCAGATGTTTATCCAGCGAGAACCTATTTCCCTGTTACAGAAAGATCGTGGCGTTATACGGTTTTTAGACTAAAGTGAAAAATAACAGACAAGAAACTGGACCTCTCAATCAAACGTAAATAATTTAATAGAATTAAATTCTCAAAGATACAGGCAGTAAAAATTACAACGTTTCGTTGGACGCCGACCGATAATTTCTTTTTCGTAGTTTTCACTCTCGCGAGAGAAAAGCATGGGGGAAAAAAATTCGTACTCGAAAAGTGAAGGTATGGAAAGCGAATGTTTGTTTCAGTTCGTATAAGATATTCAGTTACCACTCTGGAGTGATGCTAGGATCATGGACGATGGCTAGGATACATGATATATATGAAAATAAAAATAAAAGGATATTCAAAATCGATCCCTCATTTCAGACATCGGGTATTCTATTTCGCAGAAATAAAACCTGTTTCAATACGTTTTAATTTATTTACCTTTTATGCAAGCGGATATAAGCTATAAGGTGCGAAAAAATAATACCTTGAAGCGGCAACCGGCGTCCTTGAACGTACAGGAAAGTAGATGTGTGGTGCAATGATCCTTCAGATGAACCTCGAGATCCTCCCGGGGCAGCACCGCGGTTTCGCAACGATGAGGGCATGCAACCGGGAATCGACCGCATTTCGCGTGATGAGCGCCGAGCGTATCGAAAACGAATTCTTTGTTACAGTAACGACAGGCGACTAGTCTCTTGGCGCACTCCCCCAGCTTGTGCTGGCCGAGGTGTCGTCTTTGCACCTTCATACCACACTTGTTCTCGCAATAAAGAGGCTCGTAACCGCATGTCCCCGTGTGTTTCTGCAAACATTGCGTTTTACAATCAGGTACTTTCTGGAACCAATCGTTCTTAACGACGCATCCCCAGTAGAAGTAACATAAGTTTCAAAGCCAAAATGCTAATAGAATTTTGTCAGTTATTTTACGCAAAGACAATTAAGAAAGAAACAGTTGACAAATAGACGACGGTAAAGTCTTTCGATCGTTGAATGCTTTGAGGTGTCACTAATTGTCGGAACCATTGTCGTACCTCTAAAGTGTGTCCGGTAAATTCTTTGGCACAAAAGTCGCAACGGGCCCTGCGCTGAGCGCAGGTGTACTTGAGATGATCCTCCATGAGTACACGAGGAATCATCGCCCCGCATTTATTGCCGCAAGGAACTGCATCGTGCTTACAGGTGTTCAGGTGTGCCTGTGATAAGAGCGACATTTAAATTTAGTCGGACCGTCGAGGCTCCTTCTCATTCGGTAATACCGATTAGCACTCTTTGCGATGACTTTACCTTCAGCTTCCTGAGTTCGTCCGACCATTTGCAACCGTCCTTGTGATGTATGCAATATACGATGGAACCCATTATTGCCTTTTCTGCCTCCGTGTCTTGGAAGTTCTGGAAAAGACCAAGACGAGGAAGATGTTATTTGCCTTGCGTCCGTTCGCCGTTTGTCGAAACATAAAGTGTGAAATCGTCGGTGCGCGTATACCGTAACCCGAAATGTGAACGTCTGGATCATTAATGGATCAAAATTCATAGTTCTCGGAGAATCCTTTTAGCAAAGTTCCGTTACCTCGTTTTCAGGGTCCTCTGATCTTTTTCCACGAAATACTTGCAATGGCGTATACTTGTAATTGTTATTCTTAAAATATGCCGAAACAATTCAAGTTCTCTCCATTCAATAAAGAAGAATAACGCACAATATATTGTATTTATAGAAATTATAATCGCAAATCCGTAAATTATCGCAGACTATTTCAACTTATAATTATTTAAAAACGATTCTATTCCAGCTGTTGAAACTGGAAGCTCCTTATTTTGAACGATTCGCCCGTGCAGCGTGTTTAAAGTTTAGTCCGATCCGTAATAACCAGTAAATTATTTTGCCACCGGTTGGGCTACTTTTCGGAATAGCGAAGTGGCAACGCGGGTTGGAAACGCCGTGGGAGATGCTGTCTCGTGCAGAGAACCATGTGGGTGGTGCAAGCCAGAAATATTTTAAACCCATTGTCGCGCTACTCGAGCGATTACATTATCAGCGTACGTACACATCCCGTTTTCAAACTTAATTCGGCAAATAAAGGCGAATAAAATATATATTTTGTTTTCGGTATCGTTAGACATAAAATAATATAATAACAATTTCCACTCAGAGTGATACGTAAAAATTTAGAAATTGATTACAATGGGTACAGTTTAATACGTTCGTTTGCTGTTTCGAATATTTTCGAGTGTTTAAAGAGGCGTGTAGAACGTAGGGAAAAAATATACCAATTATATCGGATTGATAGACGCGAGATCGTACAAGACAATTAACAATACGTCAACATGCATGTATATATCTGAGAACTTTAATAATATA